GATGATCATGTTCTGTACAAAGTGACAAGAACACAAATAATAGATGTAGATTATTTTCTCCAGTGCTATATGGCAATGCTGCAGTATACAGTGCTGTGATGTCAAAGGGACAAAATGGAAATAACAACATCTAAATAAAGAATCCTGACATTTCAGTATGTAAAATAAGAATAGTACAGGTGACTCAGCTCAAAGATTATTTTTGGAACTTTTTCAGGTGAGCTGTGCGCGGTATTTCTCTGCTCATCTGCCTGTGACACCAAAACAAGTCTTCCAGGAACAGATGCCTTCCCACTTGTTATTGTATCACATTTCATTCTATAAGCCTCGATAGCATTAAATTTGGCACTCTTTTGTCTGTCATTAACTTCATTCAACTTGAAAGGAAAGCATAAAATTAACAAAAACTGTTTGCACCTGAATTCTTCACCAGCTCCCTGTTCTCATCTAATAACACTTCCCTCTTTCCTTTGATCGTTGCATGTTTAAAAAAAAAAAATTGTAAGTATTTTTTTAGCACAGACAAACTCTGCATTCATAGAGAACATAGACATAGTGGTGAAGCAACAGCAACGGTGCATGCTAGAGTCGGGGCTATTTCAACATTTTCTCATGATGCAAAACTTGCGGCTACAAAAAGTTTAGGTGGCACGGATCTGTTGTCACCAGATCTACAGGTAGTATCAACACTAGCTTAGAAATCACTTGGTATTTGTTGGAGATATTCAGATAAGAGGAGTGTGTGAACAGAAACCTTAAGCCTAAGTTGTAAGTACACGGTAATTTTAAAAAAACAACCCAGAGTGAGTCTCATGGACTAAAAATCTTAATGTCACTGTTCTCCTGCAAGTCTCTACACGGCCCGGTTGTCAGCAGAAAATGATACCGGCCAAGCCAGTCACACGCACACACAAACACACACAAAATAGTGAAGCCTCATCTCAGAAACTTGACCTAATTTTTCAAGCGGGCATGAAGAAAAGCAATATGCAGTATAAAAATGTTTGTGTAATGACTGTGCAAAGTGCTTCGGAAGTTCAAAGTGGACTTGCCGAAACGACAGCATCTGTGGTTTCATTGGCTTCCTCCATTTCCACCAGTTACTGAGCTGACAAAACAATAAAAAATGGACACACTGGGATGATTTCCATCACCAGGTGGGACAGTGATCACACTTGGGAGGAGCAAACATTTGCGGCCTGAAGGGCGGTTCAGTAGTTTTCTTCCCAGTTCATTGTAATTGCCATACAGACATAACAACAACGCAGCTGAAATTCTTGGCAGTTATTCTGAATGTAGGACAGTCTCTGCGATCCTAACTAAATGATTCCTAACTTGGGAAATTCTTCATTCACGAATTCTGTTCTGTAATAGCTAAATTCCTACTCTAAATTGAGATAAAATAGGATTTCAGGCTTTCAGGAATTTCTGCTCTCTTCTGAACAGTGATTTAACGTGTAGGCAGGCACCTTGTTAGAACTTGTCAAGCAGGAGTGGAAAAAACAAGTGATTTTACTACACAACAGGCAGTGAGTGAGGGGAGAGGCAGGAAGAAGACAGAGAGGGTGTTGGGTGAGGGGGATGAGCGGGGTTAGTTACAGTAAGCTAGCGCGTGAGGCAGCAGAGTTTGATTTCATCATGATGATTTTACAGTATCGTTTTAATAAAACGTTGAAGTTCTACTCAATTTGTTCAGAAGCATGTTCTTTTTTTTCTTGCATAAAGGCAGGCGTCGAAGGTATGAAAGTGTGAACAACAGTATGTCTTGAAATTGCAGTTTTAATAGAATCACTCATACAGCCTTGATGCATATGACATTTGCACTGTAAAGGACTATACCAATAATTTTGCAAGTTTAAGCCCATACTTTACATCAAATCTAGTAATTTTGCAAACATGATGAACAGTATATATTTCAGTATGGTGTGACAATTTATGGGTTTTACGGTTAAAAGTTGCCTGATTAATTTTTTTTTTTTGTTGGAAAATCCATCAGTGAACATTATGTCTGCATTAATGTTTATATATAATTATATTATCCAAGCTAGCACACAGCTAAGATCAGTTTAGCAGGTCAGGAGGACTACTCCAGGGAGGTCTGGGCTTAAATTTAAATCTCTTACATTTTAACACAGGTAAACCAGGAATCAATGTCAGGTGAACTCGTGTGACGATACTGTAATTGTGTTGCAGGATATGAGTGGGTGTGTGATTGAGAGAGAAACCTGAAACTTGGTGTGGGTTGCATTGATGTGACAACATGTAAATTCCATCCTTTAAAACCATGACAGTCGCAAATGTAAAAGCCTCCCTTCTCCTCTGTCTGTGCCTCATGCTCATATTGTCTTTTCACATCAACCCCCATCAACCTGACAACCTACCGGAGAAATAGAGGAAGGGGAAGAAGCTGACAAGAATGGAGACCATTTGTTGTGTTCAGTGATATTTCAGTCACAGCTCTTCTCATAGCTGATTTCAATAAAAGTTCACCAGACTAAGTGGCCTGCACACAAGTACTTCCCTCTCAACACACATCCCACGTTGTCACACTCGGGTCGAAAGAGATACTTTACATAATTGATTGTTTTTCAAAGAGGTGTAATCAAACAGTGATGCAAACAATGCACGAGCATAGATACCCTGATATGTAACCACTTGTTCGTCTGTCTCTCTCTCTGTTGTACAGTATCTCTCTCCATCTGAACTTTCTCCCACTGTCCTTCCCTCCCTCTCCGATGTCAGTATTGATGATGTTATAAGTGTGATTTGAGCACTCTTTGTAGAGGTTGTACCATGTTAACATTTATTCTAAGTCACCGGATGGATTCAGGCAGCAGCTGATAAAGTGGATTTGTATAAAGTATAGATATGTTTTGTGTTATTTTTCTACTACCAAGGTCTGGTGAGGCCTCAATTTTGCAGACAGCATGTATACTTTACAGGTATTGCAATAAAAAATCATGTCTGTTTTCCTCTTTTTGCTTGGTGGCACAGGTAGAACAGATGTGAGCCAGTCGTTTAATGCGCAATCTTTTAATGCAGCGCATAGGCTTGTCTGATGGTCCTTTAAATATGCCGTTAGTCTCCTAGCTTTGTTCATTTTCTCGGGACATTCTCCTCAGCAACAACAGATTTTCTGTCAGCAAAGCAAACGCATTGAGATGTTCAGCGATATGGAGTATAGAAATTGCATTAAATCCAACACAAACTGTGCCTCAAGGAGAGAAGTTTGGCGCACATTGTCACATTCATCATCAAAGTTACTCATTTTAATAATCAACAACATATTTAATTATCAGTCAATCATTTTTCAAAGTAAAATGGCAAACATTTACCGGTTCCAGCTTTTTGAATGTGAGGATTTGCTGCTTTTCTATGTCAATTGGAAGTTGAATGTATTTGGGGCTCTTGTTTGGACAAACCAAACAATTTGAAATTATGACTTCGGGCTCTGTGAGCTGGTGATTGGCATGTTCAATTTTTCATCTCACAATTATAAGTCAGACATTTTTTATAATAATGATAGACTAAACAAACAGCTGAATTGAACACATCCCCAGTCTTCAGTGCCAGTGGTCTCTTTGCCAGCGTTAGTGTTACCAGCTGTGGTTGTAACACTGTTAGTGTGGTGTCGCAACTGTGACAAAGCCAGATTACAGTGTGGTTGTCCTGCGGGTACAAGTGTCAACGATCGTGGTGGTTCAGCAGCTGGAGCTGACGTGGGATGTAGAAAAACAATTTCAGCCTTCAATTATGAGTTAAAAAGTGTGACACTCAACATGTTTCATGTTAATACCCCCCCCCCCATCACTGTAGCAGTTACTGTACTGCAGTCATCTGAAGAATGTAGAGTACTCCCCTGTCTCACTGCAGATTGTAATTAAGCATTTGTTCTTGTGCAGAGACATTTATGCACCAGAAAGGTCAAAGCACAAGAGCAGCTTTTTGCACTGTTTCTGAACCTGGTATTTGTTCCCTGTCTTGCTATAAGACACGTTAACAGGACATTTTCTGTTGGGGCTGCATGATCAATACGAACACCATTATAAAAAAACTTGAACAAGTTTTAAACAGCAGGAGCTACAATTTTTATTATATGTAAATTAAATGGTTAACCCCTTAGTAGGGTTGAAAGGTAACGTTTCTATATATATTCTTATTCATTTTTAAACTTTATTTGCCCCCGTAGGGCAATTGGTTCCGCAGCAAGACATAGACAGAGGACAGACATATATACAAGACCAAAATACATAAAATACCAAAATGCTATGGACTCTGGTTGTACAACAGCGGAATAAGAAGTTTATACCAAGTAGCTAACCCTTTGTTATATGTGGGTGTACTGTGGTCATTGTTGCAAAAGAATGAGCAGGAAAATACTATGATAAAGGATTTCATTCAGATTTCCCACTGCTACCGCAACATTTCCCCTTTTTCCTCCTTAAGTAGCTTTAGGAAGATTTTGTAAAAATCATCAAGCTTTGCCTTCCTTGTTTATATTTTATGGACAATAATTGTACTAAACACAAAAGCAGTGTTGATCAGAACAATCAAATTAAATTTTTTTCTCAAATCCTTCATGCCTACTCTAGTTTGGTTTCCTAATCTACAGTGAACTCTTACTAGTGGTGCAAAAGCAACTCAGTACTTTTACTGAAGTTCTATAATTAAGTAAAATATTAAGGTACTTGTTGGTTAGTTGAGTATTGCGATGTCTTCTACTTTTTACGTCAATACATTTCTTGAGGAAAATATTGTAGTTTATATTCCACGACTTTTATTCGACAAGTAAAGTTATTAGTAATTTTGCAGATTCAGATTTTAACATACCAAAAGATTGTAAAGTTATTGTAGTTTAACAACATTTAAATTGTTGACATTTGAATACATCAGTAATGATCAAACAATGCTAATATGTAGAAGTACACCTTGCTGGTAAGTTGAAGTACACTGTGGTATTTCTACTTTAGCTTAAGTTAAAGATCTGAAATGACTCTCACCACTGTCCTGCGTGTTGATTCTGGACTTGGTTATGGTTTGTGGTCTTGCTCAAAGGCACTTCAACGTTTACATTTCAGTCGAGTTTGGTTTCCGGAGCCTCTGTAAACTCTCATACAGACAGAATGGAGGAAGAGCTCAGGCCTGTTTTCTTCTTGACCCTGTTTCCCTGAAGGCTGTAGTAGAGGGGTGTCCTCTCTGTGGACTGAAGGAAACGGGGGCAGGGCCGAGTGTGTGTGTGTATGTGTGAGTTCGAGTCTAATATTAGCGGCAGTGTGTTTGAGTCACACGGTAGGCCCTACTTCCTGTTTTCACTGTCCAAGTTTACTTCCCAGAGAAAGAAGGGAAGAGGGAGAGAGCGATGGCTCCCCAGGTGCCCCCTGTAGTTTCTGTTATCATCCATTTATCTGCTGTCCTGTCTGTGCACAGTTTGTCACTTATATCACAGTACAGTGTAACGTAGTAACACAGATATGTAAGGAATGCAAGATGAAGAAATGAGATGGTGGCGACGAAAGCTTTACTGCTTCTTCTGCTGCTCTGTCAGCACCACTTAGCTCAAGCGTGTCGCAGCAATAGAAATGAGATAAGAAATACTATTGTATTTCTCATTATTGTTGTTTTATTGGAGATGTGATTCTGTAAGATATCAGGAATCATTTTTGTGAGTCTCTCCCTTTCTTTAATTTGTAAAGGGAGATCCCTGGTGCTTTTGCTTTGTCTCTCATCACTTCCTGTTCTTTTTGTGCTGATTGCATCTCTGTTTTTGTGCTCTGTTGTAAACGGGTGGAAGGAAATTTAGAGTAGTTGTTGTTTCAGGCTGAGGTAAATCATTAAAAGTAAGCAGTAATCTGTGTCATTTGCATTAAACACTAAAATTCACTTGTTCCTTGACACATTTGACAGTGTTTTTTTGAAGTATCGTGAAACCAAACCAAAAATTGAAAAAAAAACAAAAAAAACACGTGTTCTGTAGATGTAATAAATGAGCTTGTGTAGTCTAAACTCAGTGTAAGTGCACATAAAGAAGTCCCACATCAATCAAATTGTGGGAAAGGTTTGGATTTCTACTGTCATCCTTTACTTTGGCTGATTAGCTAACACGTCGTAACGTGTATTGATTTATCTGCAGTAGATCTCTTAATCCATGTGCAGTCTTGTTCTGTGTGGAAATCCATTGTTCATCCATCCAATTGTTTGTCAGACCAGCAATCAGGGTCAAAGACTGTAAGTGATGATAGTTACCTCATCTGCTTACTTTTGGGGAACCATTTGCATTTGATGACCTCAGGGTGCAGAGTAGCATGGACTCCGTGTGTGACACTTACTGACTTGACTTAGAGCCAGGGACTTTAACTTTGGGGCTCAGCAAAGGAATAAAAGAAGAAATCAGCACATTTGAGTATTGATATACAGCATGGAGGTATAAATACTGAAGTCTAATGAAGTTTATAAATCATAGTTTGAAATGTAGAGGTCGAGCGTCTGTGGAATGTCTGTAAAATAAATCTCCGGTGAGCTCCACAGGGCAGAATTAAACTTAGTAGGGAGACGTCTCCATTTCCTCACAAACAGGATGAGAGAGGAGAAAACACCCAGTCATTCTACATACTCACACACTCACAACGTTTACATTTATTACACATTTAAAAACAGACTGCATGCAGCACACACATCAGATGAACATCCTTATATGATAATTACTAATGGATTGATATACAGAAGTATTGGATGGTATGGCAAGTTGTAACTATTATATATATATATATTTTAGTTACTAGTAGCTATTTCACTAATAAATGTAACTATCAACAAGCCATTTAATTAGTTATTAATGAATGACTAGTAACCAAAGACAATTTACTAGTAAGAATTTTATTGTTGCAACTATCTTTTGGAATTGTTACCAGTAACTAATGAATAGGTTCTAGTTTCTAAAATAGATACTAGCAAATGAAATAGTTACTATTCAAATAGTAACTAAAGAAGATATCTGAACTACAGAGCCCCGGTGATTTCAATGGCAAAAATCTGCAATTACTTGCTGGTAACTAAAAACTTTCTTGTAACTAATTTGGTGAGTACACTTAATTCTGTCCTGGTCATCCAAAAATGTTTTTATTGATTCGTTGTTTCAGTCATGTTTGAAGACGATGATCAGATTTCAGCTTCTTAAATGTGAGGATTTAGAAATTAGAAAATGAGACAAAAGTAGGAATAGCGAGTGTGGTCCATGTGCAGTACACACTATTCAGTTAGGCATCCATTAGGTTATAATAAAGGTACGGCTGGTTAGTTTTAAACTGTTAAATGCCATCTAAATACAAGCAGCCATGCAAGAACTTTGCTTAAATAAAAGAGGCCTACATTGGCTACATTTAGATTTCATTTTAAAGTAAGTAAGATCACAAATATTACTAAGCATTACATACCACATTTCATTACTTGACACTTTTTCATACCCAGAAACAAAACAGTTCAAATGCTCTGGTCAAAACAGAAACTGCATGTTCACTTATTTGGCCTACGTCCAAGAACAACTCATGTGAGCAGATTCCATCCATAAGTGGCTTGCACTAAAGATTAAAGATAACTCCTGCATTCAATGCATCTCGTCCTTTCTATAATCTTCCTTAGATTTCTTCCTCGCTGTGTTTATCTATCGTGTGTCAGTGAGTCTGTAGCTGTAGGTCTCTTTTAGGATACATGCAGCCACATGACTCCAGCTTGACTAAGGCTCATGTGATACTGTAAAAACTTTGGGACAGCTCTGTGTGTGTGTGTGTGTGTGTGTGTGTGTCTCAGAGGAATGTGTCTCAGTGTGATTAGGTTAAAATGAAGCTCATTAAGCTTCGGTTGACAACATGTGACGGTAATGATTGAATCTTTGAATAAACCTCAGTCAGAGATATAGAGGAGTAAAAATCCTTGACGGTGCCTCAACATGTCCACTGACACCTCCTTTCCTGGGGCACCTGATGACCTTGTTGCTATGGATACCATCGAAACAACAAAATAAATGACACGAACAAACAGAATATTCAGACTACCTTGACTCGAAGCAGGTCTCGACTCCCCAAGGCTGTCCTTCACCTCGACTGATAAACATGCAGCTGCTTTCATTAACCTGTGTACATTGTGTGGTCTGATGCGAAGTGCAGATACAACTCAAACATTAAAAACAGACTTGTCAAGAAGGTTTGACAACTTCCTACTCTATGTTTGATACAGTGGAGCGTTGCCATGAATGAGACTCTATACATTTTAAATCCGTGACCCTCCAGTTTTCACCCATCTAACTAGTTAACAACCCAAGCGGGACTGTGTTTTCTTGACGGTTCCTTCTGGTGTTTCTTTGTTTGTACTGTTACTCTTCACCTAATTACTGTGCAACAGGACAGGTAACTAAACATCAGCATCTGTATCACTTCAAAGAATTTCTTCCGAACAAGTGTTTACTCTCATTTTCTGCATCTCTGCTCTTTACATTTGCTGGATTACAGCAGGTGACAATTCAGAACCAACATTTGTTGATATTGTACTTTAGCTGTGCAAATTCCCTGAGACTATCGACGATGGAAAAAAGGCCACTCTGAGTAACAGATCCATGAGTTTGTAGGCTTCTTATCAGCAGTTTACACTACTGTAGTAGTTGTAATATCCTGTTCCATATATGGAACAGGATATTACAACTCTGGAAAGTTATCATAGTGATAATCATTTTATCTTCCATAATGCAAGGAAAACAGAAGAGTTACAACGTTCCTTGTACAAAGTAATCTACCAGAAATGTCAGTGTTTGTTTGCAGGACTCATTGAAATGAAGGCGTTGCTGCATTTTTTCACACAGGGATAATTACATTACATTACATTTATTTAGTTAATAAGTGCATTTCAACTATGTGTATACAATCCAGAAATTGCAAGAATCATGCAGGTACATGAACATTTAGAAACAATAGGAGACTGAGAAATGTTTTATTAATTTTCTATTTAAAATGTTGCTCTGAACACAGTCTAAGACTCTCCTGCTGTATTTGGCTGGAAACACATAACTTTGCTTGAAGTTAACCAGCTAGCTGCAGAGTGCAAAGCTTTTCTTCTACAGTTCTTAAACCTAAACATAAACCTAAAATAGCGTTTATGTCAAGGAGACAAACATTTAGTGAAATGGTGCAATTTCCACATATAATACAATCTTGCTCTGTTGTGAATCCGTATTATTATGTTATTATTTACATTAACATATTAATATTAGATAAATTGTATGTTGTATATGTTGTTTTTTGATCAAAATGTTGGTTAAATTTTCTTTAAATGACTTTTTTCAACTGTATTCACGGAGCGAATGAACTCCGCCCAGCTGATTGATCCCGGCATACGCTGTGATAGTAATCAGCTGAACCCGCTTGCGCTGTGAGTTCAGACCTTTTTATATATTGTCAGTGGTCTGGACAGCTGTGATGAGTGGTAACGTCGCTGATAGTTTTGCAACATAAACATCTAAAAACTGAAGCGCAGCCTGCTCTGTTTGCACTGGAAGTTAATGTGTGTGGATTTGTGGTGAGATTTCTGCCTGATTAAAAGTGTTTCATTTACTTTCGGTTGCACATGCAACATGCAGTCCCAAACTGCGTCGGTCAAACAGTCTGAAGCGGATCAAAAATGTAATGCACAGCAGAGTATAGAGCTTCTCATTAAATGATGACATTGAGTCTGGTAGTATTATGACTTTATTCAGGATATGTCAGAGACCACAGATGTGTGGGAGAGATTCTGAATGTGCAGAAAGTTTTGACCATGAGCAGAAAATCTGCTGAAACACAGGAGCTATTAAAGTCCAGGAGTTTATTACCAAATTTAAATTTAATAATTTATCATTGAGGTGAAAAGGTGCCACAGTCACATTTAAGCGGGTTACTTCCCCAAACAAAGCCACAAAGAGGAGGGAAGACTAAATCATGACTCAGCAGGGATGATATTACATCTACAGGAGAACGTAACACAGAATGACTGAGAGCTGCAATGACTTATATTCTGTTACAGTTAGGCTATAGATTTTTAATTGTCACCTGCCTCCTGAATTTTGTGTTTCTCTTTATATAAAAACATTTTAAAAAATCACCATAAATTGGTGCAGAAGAATTCATCAGAATGCAGGAAATAAAGTGTTTAATGCTCAAAATTTTCAAATAATTCAGCATT